TCGAGTTATCGTGCTGACGGACATATATATATATATATATGAATTTGAACGGATGGTGTTTTTGGCCTCTAGGGACCTCAAAACGAAAAAAAATCGGTCCCGCGTCCAGGTCTTACCATGAGTACTACGGTAATAGCTTATTCCCTATATGGGAAATTCGCTAAAAATAAGAAAACGCAACCAAACGTGCGATATTTTAATTTCCCTCAACAAATCAACAGGCAGGAGGCTAAGACAATGCAATTTTGCTAGTGGCGAAAAAGAAAATTTCTAATGAAACTTAAAAATTTTTAGAAAATCCGTAGGTGATGAAATGTTTAATTTTTTATATGTTTACTTTCAGGTCGTAAATATTTTTATAAGGTTACAAAATGCAATAAACTATGTTTTTGGTTAAGGAAATGTTATTTCCGATCCTACAAATTTTATGGCAACTGTTATCAGAGAGAGTTAATTTGTATAAAAACGAAGATGTTGCAACGCATTTTAATGTAAAACTTATTATATCTGTCACATGTTAATATTACATATTTCATTTAAAATGTAGAATACAACGTATATCCTTATAACATGTAGCCTACAGTGTTTTGGATAATAAATGCGTGGCCTTATTATCCAATAAACGGTGGCATCGGCTGAGCGCGCCCTCCGTTGCCGCTTGATATAATTCTTCGTAGCTAAAAAAGTAATTCTTTTATCGAAATCCAACCGATACTACAGTTAAATTAGAACCTTTACCTAAAACCTTCCCGCAGGTCTCATAAACCTGACCAAATAATACGTGATTTGGTAGCCGACTAACTTTTTTTGTTAGTATGAAGAAGTTTGATCGGTGGTTGAATGGTTTTTAATACAGATAAATTAATAAAATTTAAATCATAAGCATCCTATGTTAATAGTCCAAGACTATGCAAAGTTTCAGGAATTTTTATCGGTTCTTACTATTAAAAATTACTATTTTATTAGAGCGGCGTCACTATTCTATATGGTCGAGGCATGTTTGCCCCCAAGGTGACGTCACGATACCCCTCCCCGCACCACCGGCAGCCGGCTACGATGCGCAGTAGTACACCTTATTTACTTCCACCATGGTCTGCACTGTACTGTCTGTGATCATGGTGGAAGGAAAATAGGTGTGCTATTAATTCCCGTCATATGCTCGATTTGGCATACGGGAGGGACGATGGCTAAAGGTGTGGTGACGTCATATCTCTAGTGGCTAATGTATTCTCTTGAGGCAACACGATTACCCTTACGGGGCGATGGGATTTCTGTGGCGTTCGTGGCATAGTTGATAGCGCATCGGACTATTGTTCAGGAGGTCTCGAGTTCGAATCCCATCGGAGACATTGACTTTTTGTCAAAGATTTTGCTTTATTTTTTATTTTTATCTTATATCTTTTTTATATTATCAGCAAGTTTGGTTGGTTAGGTTATGACAGTTTAATTTTATAATACTAAATTTTAAAATTGATTTTATAATTAAAAAATTATAAGAGTGAACATTCATTTCATTTTTATCTTATATATTTTTATATTATCAGCAAGTTTGGTTGGTTAGGTTAGGTTATGATAGTTTAATTTTATAATTAAAAAGTTAATTTTATAATTAAAAGTTATACAATTAATTTAAATCATTCAACTTAGCGGTTCTAGCGGCGAACGCTGACACTACAAGACATGTTAGCCATCGTCCCTACCGTGTGCCCCACCGGTCATATGCTGACGTCACCCAGATTGCAAACAAAAAATCACCTGATTGTATTGCCATCTTACTAGGCTAATATTATAAATGTGAAAGTTTGTGTGTTTGTTTGTTTGTTTGTTTGAAGTTCAATCACGCATTAACTACTGGACGGATTGGGCTGTAATTTGACACGATGATAGCTCACATTCCCGATTAACATATATGCATATTATTATCTCAAAAATCCTTTCGGGCTCCGCCCCAGTGGCTCTGTGATTCCCCATGTTAACCTTATGAGTATTCATATTATTTACAGGGAATTAAAGAATTTTGTCAGCTGTTTCAACTAAAAAAGTTGGTTCTATGATATGCAAAAGCATTAAAAAGTTAAAAGATTTACCAACAGGGTGCAGCACTATTACTTTTTTCATTTATGAAAACAGCTAATTTGAACCATCTATGTTTGAACTAAGCAGCAACAAAAAGCTGTGATACGCAATGAAAACTGTCAATGTAGGATTGTTTGCAGTTGTTTATGTTTTTAATTTAATATAACTTGTGATATTTTGCGAATTAAAAAATATAATTATTCTCTATTGTTTAGGTGGTTTAGGTGAAGTGGTAGAACATTGTGGCTATGGTAGATGTGTAATATTATTACGTACACCATAAATTTAAAGAAGAAAATTTTATCAAACTGTGTCCTCCCCTATTGAAAACGCAAAGCTGGAGTATAACTGCAATAAGCATTTTATTCCTATATGCCAACCCCGTATGAAGGACGGGTACTATGCTAGTATAAGTATATATTTGTTTTGATTAGATTGTTATTGTTTTTATAATTTTTCTGAATGGTAAAATGGTGTTTGCAGTGATAAAAGAGGAACTATACAGTGTTAGGCAAAAGTCTGGAACCCCCCCCCAGTTAACTTTTTAACGCGTAGCAGTAGGAACACCAAACTCAGCACATATTTACAATATAAGAAATTGTGCTTTTTCATCAAAGTAACAATTTTGCCCCAGCCCCAAAAAAGGGGTATTTTGGGGGCAGCCCCAAATTGTCAAATATAAACACCTATCATGTGACCCCTCATTTTAAAGGTTTTATTAAGAGAAATTGAATGGCGCAAACCAGAGGTCAATATCGCACCCCGAATAAAAATGGCAGCCATTTTAATTTAAGATGAGCAAGCAAGATAAAGCCTGGATACCCCCAGTTAACTTTATAATGTGTGTCAGTGGGAAAACCAAACTCGGCACATGTTTACATCATAAAAAATCGCACTTTTTTATTTTAGTTAGAATTTGTACCCTGTCCCAAAATGGGGTATTTTGGGGGAAGCCCCAAATTTTCAAATGTAAACACCCATCATATGGCCCCTCATTTTAAAGTTTTTCTCAAGACAAATTAAAAGGCGCAAGTTAGAGGTCCATATCGCACCCCTAATCAAAATGGCAGTAATTTTGGAATACCCCCTATTAACACCTGATGTTATAGCAGGAAAACTAAACTCTGCATACCTTTATAAAAAAAGAGTATTCACCTTTTGGTCAGTATTAAAATATTAAATTTTTAAAGTTAACTGGGGGTGTCCAGACTTTATCTTGCTTACTCATCTTAAATAATTAAAATGGCTGCCATTTTCATTAGGGGTGCGATATTGACCTCTGGTTTGCACCATTCAATTTCTCTTGATAAAATCTTTAAAATGAGGGGTCACATGATAGGTGTTTACGTTTGAAAATTTGGGGCTGCCCCCAAAATACCCCAATTTGGGGGCTGGGGCAAAGTTGTAACTTTGATGAAAAAGTGCAATGTCTTATGTTGTAAATATGTGCCGAGTTTGGTTTTCCTACTGCAACGCGTTAAAAAGTTAACTGGGGAGTTCCAGACTTTTGCCTAACCCTGTTTTTTTTTTATAGCTGTGTGCCAGTTCTACGTACGGGAATCTTGTAGTAAGTTGAAACCTTCTTATATAATATTAACAAGATAACAGGAACTTCGATATTGAAAACATAAATAAATAAATAAATTAAAATAATGTGAAACAACAACCAACAAGAAACAACGGGCAAAAAGAGATATACTGTAATAGCAATAAAGGCATAATGTACAAAACATATAACAAGTTTGGTGATGAGCAAAATAATAAATAACCAGCCTAGATTAATTTTTAATACTGAACATACATGCACTTAACTTTTTGTGGTTCATTATTGGTGTATTCAGTAATACACCACAATATACCTGCTCAAAATTCTACAACTTGCTACCACAACAATTTAAACGTCTACACAACAAAAAAACATTTGTCCAACACCTTAAAAATACCTCTCTAATAGACCATATTATACTACACAACATCAATGAGTTCTTCAGTGAGAACATTAATAATGGAGTTGTCTGTTGGTATGTAAAATAAAATAAAAAAAAAATAAAAAAATAAAAGAAAACATTCATATACATACATACGCCAGCTCACTTCGTGAAAATATAGCGAAAACCTTTGACTATTAATACAATAGTCAATGGCGAAAACCCAAGGCCGCACTAGATATATCTAGTGCGGCCTTGCAAAGGTGATGCATTTTATGATGCACGGACAACGGCCGCTTTTGCCAACGAAGGTGGCGGGTTGTCGTGTACGCTCAATGTTCGGTGTCGTCAACCCATTTTTTCACCGTTTGAAATCTATGAACGTATAACTTCTCTGTACTCTTTTAAACAGTCTTAATTTTTCCACCAAACTAGGTATTGACACTGATATTAAATCAGGAAATTATCATAGATTATTCAGGGGGATATAATCAATGGTGTTATTCTGCTTTATTTTGCAGTTTTTGTCGATACAAGATCCTTCCACCATGATTCAAGATAGTCACAGTGAAACCACATAGCTAAATTCGCCGATTTGCCTATGAATGAAAGGCCGCTGAACGCTGTCGCTGAACAGATTATACATAATTAGGTACAATAACAAAACTAGAAAAAATCAACATGAAACATTGATTGTGCACATTTATGTTCAATAACAAATGTTTGTAAACTAACAAATAACCTTTATTGCAGGATGAATTAATTGGAAGCAACCACAACTCAGTGTACACCGAGGCTGCCTGGTCTATTAAACCGAAGCCTGCTAATTGCTAAGCAAACTAGAGGAAAAAAACCGATTTCGATTTCATGTAGTGAAGTGGAGTTGGAGAGAAAGAGAAAGAGATGACAGGGGGACGGTAAAAGGAGGGATTTGATTGGAGGGAGTGTTAAGTTATGTTTTTGTTAGTTTATTTATTTAATGTTGAATCGGTCGGTTGAATGAATCAAATGTTGAATGTTGAAAATGGAGTTGAGTGTGAGTGTAACGCCAACGCGCGGCCAACCGTCAACCGTGTTTGTGTCATAAGTTTTGTTATAGCCTAGTGGTATAGTTTTCCAAATTGTATGTTTGCTCGTATAAACAGACAAAATAGTTTCAACCCAGGCATAGACCTATTTGCATTACTGTACTTTTATTCTGTGTTTTAGTAGGCCTAATGTTATAATGGATAAGTTAAACGTAATATCAGAGAGGCTAACTTACCTCTAGTCTAGGCATACCTAGTAGTACAATATCTCAGTTTTGTTTACTTCTCACCAAGTTACCCAGGGCCAAATTCATAAAAAGCCCTTTATCAAGTCAATGTGTGAAAACAGGGCAGTTTTCAATTTGACATTGTATACATATTTTTGAAATAATGGAAGAATTTTTACCATCAGAGATTGCCAGAGCTGTTTATGGTAAGTGAGCCTAAAGTTGAGCAGAAAATCAAACTTAGGATAGGCAAGACAGTGACTAGACAACAGGCTAAGTAGCATGTCTGCCTTAAAACACTTGTGTGAACCTGCCAATAACTCACCAATAAGGATGAGTGGCTCAATCTTATAGCCTTGCAACTTAAAAGTGACTAAACTCACCAATAAGGATGAGTGACACAATGGTCGCGTTCTGGGAACATGTACCGGTGCACCGGTGCAGATTAACCGGTGACTTATTCACCGGTGCCGCCCCGGGGCAAGAGTCTTGGTATCCCAGAACGGTTATTCACCGGTTTACGGTACACATCGGATTATAATTTACACATTCACCTACTATTTGCTTTATAATATTTAAATCAAACAAACAAACTTGCCCTCACGGAATAAAATTGAAAATTATTATTTATTACGTAATATAACCCCCTCATTGAACAAATTTTCACTCATTACGCAACATAACCTATAAAACTAATGAACATTATTTGGTGGACCCGCCATCTTGCCATAGCTGCAAGCTGTTGTCAAAGAAACTGACCAATCAGAGGCCGCCGGTGTATTATGCACCGTACAATTTCTCCGGTGCATAAATCTTGCACCGGTGGAGGAAAAAGAGGAAATAGCTGTCTGCTAGGTTAACTCACCGGTCTCCCAGAACGACACATTTTTTGCACCGGGGCAACACCGGTGCACCGGTGCATGTTCAACGAACGCGCTCATTCTTATAGTCTTGTAACTTAAAGTGACTAAAAAAAGGCCGACATGTTCCTTAGAAACAGCTGTTAACTAATAACTCAGCCCATAGGCCTACAGCCAATATTAAGTTACAGCTTACTTGGAATACTCCTATGGCTAGATCTTAATTTGACTAGGCCTATGCCTATTTCAATGTGTTATTGATCAATGGCAATAAAGATTCAGATTCTGTGGTAGGGTAGAGTGGGGGAATTGGGACCCATGTTTTTATTTTTTTCAATTATATGTTTATTGTCAGAAAATAATCAAAATATGACCATGCACAAGGTTTCCAACTGTAATTTGTCGTCTTATCACATGTTTTTCATTTTTTTTAAATAAATTTACTATGGAAAAAGAAATAATAATAATTTGGAACCCAATTACCCCACATGGGGTAATTGGGACCTATGCTTATAAACCCATAAGCACCTAATATTAATTTGTGGGGGTAATAGGGTTCTAAAAATGAAAACATAATAAACAAAATGCAACATACTTTTATTGAAAAAAAATTTTTTTTAGGACATTACAACAGTTCAAACTATTTTTTCCAAAACATTACACTTTTTTCTTAATAAAATAGGAAAAATAAACCATAGCAGATAACAGTCAGAAAATATAGATTTAAACTGTTAAAGACATATAAGTTATAGTTAAATAAAAAAAAAAAACTATAAGTATATTTTATGCCAAACTTTTTTTCTGGTCATATGCAAACTTTCCGGAATTTCGCTTTTTCAGCTGAAAGAATTTCTAATAAATGGTAGTTATCAGTCCAAATATAATTTAAAATAGGCCAATTATGGGCTTAGCTCACTCTTTTAAGCTCTAGTTTCTTATTCAAGTGGTTGTAAAATAATTTTTTTACTTTTCTGTACATAGGCTATGTCATTCCAACCCGATGTAACCACGCGATGAGACTGGTTCCCAATTACTCCATGCTGGGGTAATTGGGACCTACCTACTTCAAAATTCTGTTTTTACACATAGGCTAAGTACAACATGATAATCACCACTGCAGCCACATATAATTATTGATTAGTTATATGTGGGATTAATTATAATATTAATATTAATTATATGTGGGATTAATTATAAGTGGGATAAAAAAATATGGGTCCCATTTCCCCACACCGGGGTAATTGGGACCCATTTAAAAAAAATTTATTAAATTAATTTTTAACTTTTTTAAAAATGTTAAAGCCCTAACAAACTATTGCTTAAACCTTTAATGTGTCAAAAAATACATTTTGGTATGATTATTAATTCATAAAATATATAAAAAATAACTCAAAATACTACCACGCTAAAGTTTTGCCACATGTTTTATATTCGGAAAAAAACACGGCTTAATTTTTTTTATTTTTTATACATCAAACATAAGATTACAATTATCCAATAATTTGTGATGAAACCCCTTTAGAATGCCAAAACTTTAACGTAGGCCTATTTAAAATTTTGTTTAAAAAATAAATAGGCCTAATACAAAATTTACAAATTTAAAAAAGTAGCTCCCAATTACCCCCGGGTCCCAATTCCCCCACTCTACCCTAATTATTTACCGTACTTACACTGGAATATGATGTAATTTTGATATGTTACAGTATTTTTAACGCTGAATCTAAAAATGCAATCAGTTTTGGTCGGAGAGATTCCTAAGTGGCCGTACTGTTAAATAATTAATATTAAGCTTGAGTTTTGTTGATTTATTAACATATTTGTGGTATGGACGAGTCCAAGTTCTAGTGGCGACTAACACTAAAAGGGGTGGAAGGTTTGTGGAGTGGAAACAGCTGTCAGTTGTTTACATTCGATACTAAACAGACAAAACCACACACGACGCCATGAGAGCAAAATCAGAGTTACAATATGCAATAACTAGATTTTTAAAAGAAAATGGACTTTGGTGCTGTTTAGAAAATACAATAAATCAACTACGATACATAAACTAATTAATCACATGAATTATAAAACAAAATAGAATTTATTCACGTAAAATATCAGTACCTAATAGAAGCTAGGCCACTGCCGACATGATCATCGTCCTCATTCCAATCTTCAACCATTGACTAAGTTAATGCCTCAACGTCATTAATGAACGTGTCATAGTGCATAATCCCATAGTACATAAGATCCCATTGTGTCTAAAAGTGAAAACGTGCCACAGTGCATAATTTAATGTATCAGCAACTAATACATTATGTTACATAATCTAATCTAATCTTTAACCCAACCTAACCTTAATATTAGTGTTTAAATTATATTTTATGTCAGAAAAGGAATGTGAGGAAGATAGGTCGGACTTATGCGGATTCGTGACTAAATCCTTTGAAGTGAGGTTAGATTAGGTAAGTTAAAGGTTAGGTTGTAATGAGTCGGTTCATTATAACCTAACCTTTACCTTCCTAATCTAACCTCACTTCAAAACACTTAATACAGTCACGAACCCGCATAAAACCCGACCTACCTTCCTCACATGCCTAAATAAGAACTGATTAGCCTATTTGGTTTCAAAACGAATTGATTTGATTTCATTCCGCATTAGATCAAGTATAAACAGTTGTTTGCTCTTCTCACTCAGTCCTCACTCCTCACTCAGTACGGACCCGTCCAGACCACGCCATATTACCATTACCTTGAGTAATCAGTACCGCTCAATTAACCTTAGATTCGTAATCCTAACCTTCGTTTTACGGCCACTACGGCCAATTAGGAAGCTGTAGTATTGGCTATATGGGCTATTAGTTAATAGCTGTGTCCACGTAGTAAACTAATGGACCTGAAAATTGCACTTGCATCCTGCACAAATGATATTATAATACTTACTGAAACTAATCTTACACCTGAAATCTCCTGCGCTGAACTTGGTTTCGATAACTATTGTGTTTACAGAACGGACCGGTCATCTCAGACCAGCAGTAAAACTAGTGGAGGTGGCGTGTTAATTGCAGTTCACAGGAAATTCTCTTCATCTCAGATCCCTCCGGTTGGATCTGTGGAGTGTATTTTTGTCTCTGTTACGCCCAGACATCACCCAAAAATATTACTGTGTGGAGCATACATACCCCCAAACTAACCTGCACGGATTTAGAGTGAATTCTGTAAAAACCTGGAAGAGGTTATGCTCGCCACAAATGCGTGGTCTACAGTTATCACTGGAGATTTTAACCTACCAAAGGTAGACTGGATTGTGCCTAATGCAAGAATTACCCACGGAGCATCATTAAGTCCCTTGGTAGAATTTACATCAGCATTTGGTCTCGGACAATACAATGGAATACCAAACGGAAATAGGGTGATTCTGGATCTTGTTTTCTGCTCTACCTCTGATATTCAAGTGACACACGAAACGGACCCCCTTCTTCCAGAGGAAACTCACCACCCCGCGCTGAGCATCACATTGCAGATAGACACAATTAGTAATAATTAGCAACCCAACTCTCATCCCTAACTTTAAAAAGTGCAATCTAGTCAATATTTACAATGACATACTCTCAACCAACCTCTTCGGCAATAATTCGATTGATGATCTTGACTCCACTTTCAGCAGCTTCACAGATATTCTTCAATCGATAATCTTAAAACATACCCCAAAGAGGAGGATCGGCCAGTCAAAATTCCCCGCATGGTTCAGCAGAGAACTCAAGCAACAAGTCATCCATAAAAAACTTGCACACAAGAAATACAAGTCAACACTTAGTACTTCAGACTACAATGAATTCTCTCAAATCAGAGAGCGCTGCAAGCAACTATCGAGGCGCTGCTATTTAGATTATATATCTCATGTGCAAGACACGATCACTACAAACCCCAAAATATTCTGGAGCTTCTTGAAAAACTCTAAACTGCAGAGGGACACGCCTACAAGTCTGACTTATAATCAAGTTTTGCGTCATCAAGATGGCGCCTACTAGATGTGGCTCGGCTGATTGCAAAAGAAATATTACGAAGAACAGTAAATGTATCAAGTGTTTTGGATATTGTCTGTCGTGGTTTCACATTTCGTGTGCCGGGCTATCAAACGAAGAGTTAAATATTTTTAAGGAGTTAGGAGATAAGGCTTTTTTCAAGTGTGAAACGTGCCGGTCGTCATCCGCAACGATGCCGCCGCCGTCGTCTGCTCCCTGCTCAGCAAGTTCTGTGAAAAATGACGATGAATGTGATGTACCATATTCTGATGACTCATTTCAATCTCTCTCGGATAAAGTGTGCAATTTAATTATCACGCAAAATAAGATGAGTGAGCA